ATAAAATCATATCAATACAGGGAAAGAAGTGGGTGTGTGGGTGGTGGAATGTGGCCCACAGCTGCCACTTTGCCTGCTAGCATCTCCTTTTCGTGCTTTTTGTTTGAGCTCACCTCTTCCCCGCTCTAAGCCTGTTGGGTTTTGGTGAGGTGGGCATCCTCCTTCCTCCCCAGTCTGCCCCCCGCTCCAGGAGAGGGCTGGTGCCTGGGGCCTGGCCAGTGAGCGTGATGGTTGGGGCCTCTGCCAGAATTATCAGGAAAGGGATGCTCTCTTTCTGCTGGGATTGCTGAATTTGTCGAATATAAACCAGGAACTGCTAGTCACCTGCTGTTGAGTTGATTCACTGGGAATAAAGGCAGTGTAGATAAAAGCAGAGATGAGAAACGGAGAAAAGAAACGTAACTGAGGGAACATCATTCGGGGCCCAGATCCAGCTATGTCTGAATTGAAAATCACTTCTGGGGGCTTCCCTGGTGGCGCAGTGGTTAAGAATCCGCCTGCCAATGCAAGGGACACAGGTTCCATCCCTGGTCCGGGAAGATCCCACATGCCACGGAGCAACTAAGCCCGTGCGCCACAACTACTGAGCCTGCGCTCTAGAGCCCGCGAGCCACAACTACTGAGCCCACGTGCCACAACTACTGAAGCCCATGTGCCTAGAGCCTGTGCTCCACAGCAAGAGAAGCCACTGCAATGAGAAGCCCACACACCGCCATGAAGAGTAGTCCACGCTCGCTGGAACTTTCCTGGTATGTGAGTCAGTGAATTCCCTCAAACACATGCATACACTCCACTTATACCACCCACCCCTCCACCAAAACTAGATTCAACTGGGGTTTCTGTGACTTGTCACCAAAAGTCCTGGCTGATAAAAAAATCTGCTTATGAAACTAATCTGTAATCTAGAATTTAGACTGGCATAAAGCAGAGATGAGTGGTTGCCTCAGGGTGGGGGCAGAGGCGGGAGGACTGGCTGGATGCCTCAGGAAACTTTGGGGGAGGTGATGGAAATGTTCTTCTCTGGGGGTTGGAAGCATTCTGTGTATTGATTTGGTGATGACATGAGCATATACACATGTGTCAAAGATCATTGAGCTACATATTAAATGGATGTATCTTATTGTACATCAATTAGACCGCCATTAAATCAATTACAAAGATTTAAAAAAAATCTGCCTGATTAGGGAAGGCTTCTTCTGAGTTGCCAGGAAACTTGGCGCTGGCATTCTGACTCACTGAAGCAGAGTTTTCCATGAGTTTTAATTTTGTGAACTGTGTCCTGTTGTTTTCTCCAAACCCCTCCTGGCTACTCTCCAGCCCCCACTGGCTGAGAATGTAATATTTTTGTACTCATGTTCTCAGTTGTCCTGGTTCTGGAAGATTCTGCAGCACATTTGCAGAGCTCCCCAGCCTTGTAGCCAACCTGCTTAAGGGCACACTTCCTTGGGCTGGAGCTTCCTCCCAAGCACTGAGAGGCTGGACCCTAAATGGACCCATCCCTCTGTCTCGCCTTCTAAAGGAAGCCTTTGGTTCCCTAGACAGAGGACTCTTCTTGTCTGAGGGTTCTGAACCAAGCTGTGCAGAAAAGATCTTGAGCTGCAAAATTCTGGCATGCAATATAAACCCCAAGTTATCTCAAAACCATACTGGCAGGATATTCAGGAAAGCTGGGCGGATGCCAGAGAGGCATTCCATTTCCTCTTATTAGGATGGAAGATGAGACAGAAGAGGTACCAGCTTCCAGGCTGTTCACTGTGCCGTCTGTTGAACACGCATGCCTTCCCATCCCCCAATCCATTCCAGACATCTACAGCCTAAAACCGGGCTGTCCTCTCCTTTGGTCTCTATTGACTGTGTAATCCAACAAGGCCGGTCCAGGGCGTCCTTGGGCGGCGATGGGCTTGCCCTGTCTACTTCATGCATCACCCCAGAACCCCAACTCCCAGTGCTTTGCTGATGGGAAGCACAGAGGTCAGAGGCCTGAGCTTCCGGGGAAACAGAAAACCACTGTGCCTGAAGATGACTGGGGCTCCAGCCAGGGCCGTCCCCCTTGGACGAGGAACGCCATTTGTAAGCACTGGTGTCCACCACGGCCGCTGACAGTCTGTACTGCAGAGCCCTGTCCTGAAGATTAAATGAGATTCGCACGTGGAGCTCTCAGCCCAGGGCCCACTGAGCATAGTAGGTCGTCAAGAAATGACAGTCATTGCCCTGATGAGCAGTGCTGGTACTGGCTCTTCCCGAGAATGTCCCTCTTTCAGTGGCCGCCCTGCGCCCTGACTGTAGTGTGTGCGACGCGGAGCCACCGCAGACCGAGGTCCCACGGCTCATGGGTGGCGGTCCCTGGCCTCCCTGAGGCTGGCTCTGGCTTTCCAAGTTTGACCATGTGTATCCCGTGTGTACCTAAGAGTGTGTTTCCCCACTTGCTCACGTCTGTAGAGACAGCGGTGACAGGAAGTATGAAAACGTGGAGAGCTCTGTCCTGCCCGTGGCTCTCCCCTCCCTCATGTCCCGTTGGGGGACGGGGGAACAAGTGTTGTTTCTTTGTCCAGCCGCCTAGAAGCTGCCTGGTAGGTACGGGACTTCACTCCCCGAATCACGATTCTATGACTCTGTTGACCAGCAGGTGTCAAAGGAGAATGGCTAGAGCCCTTGCCCCAGGCAGTTTCAGGGTGGAAATCTGTGATGTTTGGGGACCCTTGACTTCCTGCCTTTATGGGACACCCAGGAAGAAGGAGGCTTTTGGTCACCACGGGGGGGGGGCCCGGATATGCCGTTTTAGGGGCGTGGGGATAGCAGAGGCGCATCACCCCACCCCTGCAGTGGGCTCCGTGGCCCCTTCAGTAATTAAATACCAAAGGAGGGAGGAGGAAAGTGGTCGAGGGCCTGAGGCTTCTGCTTGTGGGTATGTGGGCCTTTTCCCCACCAGCAGCACAGAACCACTAGCACAGAAGCGAGGTGGTCAGGGCGTGGGCAGGTTGTGCCTGGACGCTGCCCGGGGGCTGGAGTGGCAGAAAGGAGCAGAGGCCTGACTTCCTAGCAAGACTTCAGGGAGAAAGGTCCCGGGGCCGGGAGAGGCCCCATTCCTGGAGTTCGGCCCCCGCCCTTCTGGGCTTAGCGTCTGCCAGGGGCACGTGTACGTTCATACAAGGCCCAGCCCTGTCCTGACCTCCAGGCCCTGTTAGTTGGTGAGGGCTGCCCACCCACCCACCGGGCCTGGGTTCTGAGCCGCGGCAGAGGCAGAAAGGCGCCGTCGAGCTCCCGGGTGGGGGTCAGCTCCCCACTGGGGGCTCGGGGCTCCTGAGGAAGAGGGGAACCCCAGGGGCTGGGATGCACTGCGCCCCGAGAAACCAGGCCTTGGATGGCCCCCTGGGGCACCTGCAGGCCTGGGAAGCCGTTCCGCCGTGTGGAGGGAGGCCTGCACCTCTGGGAGCTTTCCAGCCAGTGGTCCCGACCCCACCCCCTGACGCGCGTCGTCAGGACCCTACTTGGTTTCTCGAGTCCCCAGAAGTGTCAGCTGTGGTGGCCTCCAACTCTGCTTTCCCGGGATTCTCTGACTGGTGTGTGGAGGAGAGGCTGGGGAGGGTGCACCCCAGGGGCTGGGAAAGGGGCGGGTGGGCACCCCGGCTTCATCAGCCGAAGCTCCTGGAAACTTCGCCACTGGACCACACAGAGCGGTGGCCTTGCTGGGGCAGCAGCTGGGGCAAAGGGAGCCGGGCTGCCGGGCGCTGGTCGTCAGGGCAATGCACTTGGGGGTCAGCCGGCCCGACGGTGGTGCTGCAGCCCTTCTCCGCGATCACCAGGGCTCTGCAGGCAGAATGCCAGCCACCAGGCGGTACTGCCTCCTGGACGGGCAGTTCCCTCCGTCAGCCGCCCCGCCCACCCTGCCATCTCCTGGCTCTCCACAGAAGAGGGGCGCCCTGCTCCTGCCCCAGACCCCGGACGCCCCTGCCCTGGTCTCTCCCCGGGCCTATGCAGTGAGCAGTTTTCCCAGGTCGTCCCCCAAAGTGGCGGGGGTCCCAGGCTGGGCATCAGGAGGCCAAGATGGGCCTGTTCCTGGGGCTGCCGGAGGCGAGGCGCTGGCCAGGGAGCCGTCCGGCCCGGCTCTAGTGGAGGCTGTCTCCTGGGAGGGGCTTCAGCCTATGGCTGGGGTTCGGGAAGTGACAGGCACAGGGGCGCCAGCCCTGCCTCAGAGAGCTTAGGACAGAGAGTTCTGGGTGGGGCAGGGGGTGCAATATCGCCGAGGGTGCAGCAGCCACCCCGGGGGTCTCTGTGTGGACACACTGTGTTCTTTTATTATTATTATTATTTAAACTTATTTATTTATTTATTTTTGGCTGCATTGGGTCTTTGTTGCTGTGCATGGGCTTTCTCTAGTTGTGGCTACTCTTCGTTGCAGTGCACGGGCTTCTCATTGCAGTGGCTTCTCTTGTTGCGGAGCACAGGATCTAGGCATGCGGGCTTCAGCAGTTGTGGCTCGCGGGCTCTAGAGCGCAGGCTCAGTGATTGTGGTGCACGGGCTTAGTTGCTCCACAGCGTGTGGGATCTTCCCGGACCAGGGCTCGAACCCGTGTCTCCTGCATCGGCAGGCGGATTCTCAACCACTGCGCCACCAGGGAAGCCCGCACACTGTGTTCTTCATGGGCAGGGACTGTATTAGTAGCCAGCAGAGAGCCTAGAACCCAGTAGGTGTGATGAAAACTAAGGTTCCCAGGGGGAGTGGGGGGGGCCCTGGGTGGGTGAAAAGTGCATGGGGGTTAGCCAACAGAGCGTAGCGTGGGGACCAAGCTCCCTCCGGCAGAGGAGTGGACACCCTAGCAGAAGAGGGAGCACGCCGGTGTGTAGACCGGCCAGCCGGGAGAGGCGGCACGGGAACTGGGGTACAGAGCGGGCTGCACGGGGGGCGGCGTGGAAAGGCTGCCCGTCTGGGCTTCGGATGCCAGTGGGGTCCTCACTGTGAGAACAAGATCACAGACAGGACAGAGGGCAGGAAGCCTTCCTCGCTGCGAGATAGAAAACGTTTATTGATATACACGTATTATCTTTCATCAAACTGGGCCACCGTGCTTGTAGGTGGGCTGAGGTGGCCAGGTAGAGCCAGTGCCCACTTTTGGGTGGGGCTATAGCCCAGAGACTGCCTGGACGGCCTTCCGGAGCCCCTCAGACCAGGCGGACGGCAGCTCAGACATGCCGGCTGGCATGGAGTCAGAAACGAGAGTGAGCCACTCAAGCCAGCCGACGGCTTTTCCTGCGTCCAGGCACTTGCCGTGCCAGAGGCTCCCCCATTTCGGCCACCAAAGGGAACGTCATGTGCGGAAAGACTGGGCTCCCAGGCGGGTTAAGGAGAAGCGTCTCCCAGGTAGCACCCTTGCCTTGACAGGGCAGAAAGGAGGCAGCAGGTGTCCCAACAGCAGGACAAAGATGCTGGCCCGACAGGCGATGGGCTGGCTGTTCTCAGGAGGGCTGGCTGATGGGGCAGGAGGTGGATGGGCTGCGTGACCCCCTCCTCTCCTTTCCTGGCCATCCTGGGGCGGGGAGGAGCCCCACACCCGGCCCACTGCCCGGGGGCAACTTCTGCAGTGGGTCACGGAAGGAGGATACCTGGGGGGAGCCTGGTGAGGCCACGGGGTCTGTTTGGAAGTGGCTCTTCTGTCTCTCGGCCACGCCCAGAGCCTCTGCCCCGGGAGAAGGCGGCTCGCGGGCGGGGAGCAGGTTTTTCTCCTTGCACTCGGGCCCCGGGGCTGCTGCCCAACTCCTGACTCCTGCAAAGGGTCTCTGGAGGCCACTCCAGCTGGCCGCCGCCTCCCCTCCAGCAGCTGGCCTCTCACGAGGCATTCCCCGAGGCGCACTGCATCTCCATGGTGACCGTGTTGGGCGTGCTGCCCCCCGCCTCCCCTGGCTCGGCCCCGTCTCGCAGGGCCCGCTGGAAGACCACCCTGAGGGGCTCCCACAGCCGCTGTGACTTGTCCCTGCCGGCCAGGAAGTAGACGACGGGCTTGGCGCTGCTGTTGATGCAGATACACAGGTCGGTGACGTACTCGGGGAAGGGGGCCGGGATCTGGAAGACCCAGAAGAGGAACCAGTCGATCCCTAAGTAGATGGAGGACACGAGGAAAACCGAGACCATGGCCAGGATGACGTGGTTGAGCTTGGCCGAGCGCTGGCGCCGCCGGGCCCGGCACTCCACGTGCAAGACGAGCACCAGACAGGGCAGCACCATGAGCGGACAGAAGACCAGGAACAGCAGGATGCCCAGGAAGGTGTCCACGTGCCCGCAGCCCGGCCCAGACGCCTGGCGGCCCAGGAACACGCAGAAGTAGCTGTGGATGCTGGTGACCAGGAGCGACAGGCTCCAGAGGAGCGAGCACACCACAGCCGACAGGCGCTTGGGCCGACGGCGCCAGTACCAGGAGGGAAAGATGACCGACAGGCAGCGCTCTGAGCTGACGGCTGGCAGGAGGCTCACGCTGGTGACGAACATGCAGAGCCCCAGGATCCGGGACACCGCGCGGACGTAGTCGGCAAACGAGCCCAGGAAGCCCCCTGTGTTCAGGATGGAGAACACGGCCTTGCTAAAGAGGTAGCCGACGTCCGCGCTGGCCAAGTGCAGAAAGTAGATGGAGAAGGGGCTCCTTTTGATGGAGAAGCCGAAAAACCAGAGGACCAGCCCGTTGCCCACCAGGCCGCACAGACAGAGAAGCAGGAAGATGTAGTTCATGACGGCTGGCGGTGGCAGCATGGCGATCTGCTCAATGGTCAGGAAGCCGCGGCCGTAGAGCTCCGGGGCCTCGCTCACTCCTGGACACATCTGCGCAGGCGTGGAGGGGAGACACGCGGTGATACTGGCTGGGCTCCATCCCCAAACCCGCACCTGCATCCAGGTGTGCTGGGCTCCGCCCCCAAACCTGCAGCTGAGCCCAGGTGTGTTGGTCCTGATTACAGACGTGGCTCTGGAGCAATGAATGGGCTGCAGCTGGAGCAGAGACACCCTTGATCTGACATAGTGCTGCCAGGCTGTGCCCCAGAGTCTGGAGCTCACAGCCTACAGGAGTGATAGTAAAAATGGTGAAAAGCATCGGTCCCTCATAAGGGTACCTGGTGGTCCACCGGCCAGAAAATGTACATGTTGTGCAAGATAAAGAAAAACTGAGGAAGCTTTCCATATCGAAGGAAACTAAAGAGACATGACTAATTAACGCAGGGCTGTAAGCGTGGATTGTAGAGTGGATCTAACCATCACTATAGAGGCTATTAGGGGGATGACTGGGAAATGGGAATGTGGACTATGTATTGTACGAATGTTGCACTTTCTGAAGAGGAAAATGTACCGTGGCTATGTCCTTGTTCTCAGAAGATACAAACTGTTTGGGTGCAAAGGGGTTTGGTGTCTGCAATTTACTTTCAAATAGCTCTGGGAAAGAAAGTACCTATCAAGAGATAATCAAGATTTATTTTTTAAAAAAAGAGATACTAGAGAGAAAGCACATGTGGCAACAGGCTAACGATGAATGAATCGGTGAAGGTGTATGCAAAGTTACAAAACTTGCAATTTTTCACACTGAAACATGAAAATATTTATTTTAAAAAACAAAATCACTTGTAAGTTACCGAAACAAAACCAAAGTGGACCCAGACCTATAGTGGAATCAGAGAGACCTGGGGAATCAGAGTTGGTTCCCTGCTGGGCCAGGGTGAAACTCTGGGTTTCTGGATCGTAAGGGATCTGGATCTGGCCCAAGGGGGTCCCTAGAGGGCGAGACACTGAGGCAGTGGCTATTCACAGAGCTGTGTATTTTGACAGTTGGTCTGGCCGTGTGAGTCCATCTGGCTAAATGACAGTCTTGCCTGCAGGGTCTGGGCTGGCATATAAATGCATGAACGTGGGTCACGTGCAAGAAGCTGACAAGTGTGTGTGGGGGGGCAGTGGCAAACCGGAGGGCACCCGTCCTGAGTGAGTCGGCGGTGCCCTGCTCCAGCCGGTGGGCGCCAGTGGGACCAGCGGGCTGAGTGGCTCTTATTCATCCTTTTCCCTCTCCCCGGAGAAGCCAGAACTCGAGATGGTAATGTAAACTATCCTGATCTTTAAATGCTGACATTTAAAAAACACGCTGTGGGCCAAACATAACACATCTACAAGCTGGATTCGGTGCTCAGGCTGTGGACTTTGACCTCCCATCCCCAGTGGCGGAGGCTGCCCAGAGCACTGTCACTGCCCTGCCCACACCCCGGCAGACATCACTAATCCATCCCAGCACTCTTTCCCACAGAGCCCGAACCTGGCCTACCCCTAATCTAAGGCCGGGTGTCAGTACCCATTGCTCATGACTCTCCCTCCAAAACCCAAAACAAAACTGGAAAACAAACCAGAAGGTTCTTGAGGCAGGACTATTCTGCCACTTTCCAGATGGGCCCCAGCTCCGGCAGAAAGCTGGGTCCCGAAAGACTGCTCTCTGGGCCTGACACCCCATAACAAAGGGAGGGACCTCTGGCCTGGCTCCGGTCAAGGGGACCCTGCAAGCAGGGACTGGAGGGTGCCGGCAAACTTTGGGGAAACCCCAGAAGGTCAGGGCATGGGGGTCCCGGTCACTACCCGGCATCCTATCCTCTAAATATATTTATTGACCCCACATCTGTCTGTCTGTCTGTCAACTCTCAAACCCCTTAGCTCGCTCTTTACTCAGCTTTCCTCTTCTCAGCCGGGGAGCAGACTCAGAAATTTACAAGATCCGGTGTCTAAACAAGTCCACGGAGGACCAGCGCTAGCGCTGGAGGGAACTGGGTGGCAGGGGCTGCATCTGACAGGTCAGGTCCCTCAGTGCCTCTCGCAGGCTGGAAGAAGTCTGCAATCCTCCCCTCAGAGTCAGAGCGGGAGGGCCGGGGAGTCACTGGACGCGTGGCTGCCATCCCGGCCACATAGCACCTTGTACAATGCCTGCTCTGGAGCCTGGTGCCCTCCCTGGGCTCTGCCTTTTCTCCGGGGATTTCTGGGGACTCCCAAGCCAGTTCCTTCTCTGTCTCCTGTGGCTGCCATCTTGCAGTGGTCACCATCAGGGCTGCAGGCATGGTGGGGAAATGCCGGGGGCTGGGGTCCTGGCTCTGCCCCGACCTCCGGACTCACCGCAGTCAAGCTACTACACTGGCGTGAGCCTCAAATTTCCTCAAAGGTTGAACTTGGTAAACTCAGGGGTCCTTCCAACTTGAGAGGGTTTTTCCCGGGATTCAGGAGGGAATTCCAGAGTTTTCAAAGGCCTCAGAGAAGTAGGGGGCAGGAGCGGGGGAGGGCAGAAGGGGTGGGTCAGCCTGATGGGTCGTCAGACTCTCAGCCATGGCTAGTGCCCGGAGGCAGAGGGTAAACCGGGACTAACGGACCCTGGTGTTGGGCGACGCTGGCAGGGTGGCCCAGAGCTCCACGGAGGCTCGTGACACCAGGGCCCCCTTGGAGCCAGCCTCGCAGGGCCTCCTGGCAGGGCCTGGCCATGGGAAATAGCTGACCGCCCCATCTCCCCAGGGAAGAGCTGACAAGGCCTCTGGAGTTGGTAACAGATGCCCCAAGGTCTGCACAGGATGGGACTCGAGGGCGTCCGGTGATGAAGACACTGGGGATCCGAGGTGACCGGTAACCAGTGCCAGGCCACGTAGCCCAGAGGGGCCCTGCTGCCCGCCTGTCTGTCCCGAGCTAGAGGATGGGGCCTGGGCGGCAGAGTGTGTGTGAGAAGGGGGTGCTGGGCAGGGTCTGCCCCCTCCCACCACACCATCCTGCAGACCCGGGTCGGGGAGCTGATGGCGGTACTTGCCTTGTTCCTGTTGGTGGGATGGGTCTCCCAGGAGCAGTTTCCAGCCATCCCCAGGCCTGGTGAGTCCAGATTCCTTACGGCTCTGCTCACAGTTCACCGGCCTGCGCAACTCACCTGGCCAGGCAGAAAGAGTCACATGAGGGCGGCAGTGTTCTCCCCTCCCTCGCAGACCCCTCCCCAGGCCCTCAGGGCCCTACCCTTGGAGGGCAGGCTGATGAGCCATCCCCTGGCCGCCTTAGAGGCAGCGCCTTGTGGGAGGCACCGGGCTTCCTGCTGAGTCCAGAGCAGGAGGCGTCTGTGTGCACCACTCCCTCCTTCTCCGGGGCCCTCATTCTCCCCGCTGCTGACACCCTAGGGACACCTCCTGGGGACGAAGCCCCTCTCCTTCCCCGCTTGTTCTGAGATTTCTGGAGCCAGACGGCTTCTGGAGATATCTTTTATTTACCTGCACACATTTCTTGGACACCACCTTTGTGTCCAGCCAGGGGTGGGACAGGGGTTCAGTCCCAGACAGGAGAGTGGGGGAGGAAAGATCATTTCCGGCAAGGAGGCTTCCTGGAGGAGGAGGCTTTTGCCCGGGCCTTGTGTTTGTAACATATTAAGGTGTCTGGTCTTTCCCCTACACATGCCTGGAAGGCAGGGCACCCCGATCGTTAGCATCAGCATCGCTGTCACCACCATCAACCCCGTGTCAATGAGTGCCTGCTCGCTTACATCCCAGCCTCCTGTTTGGTCCTGGGTACCAGCTATGAGGCAGGTGTAGTCACTCCCCTATGATGAGGGCAGGGAGGTGAGGTCACCTGCCCAGGGCGCACCCTATAACTGCCACCCACACTGCAGCTTTGCCGATTTGTGTACCTGCAGGACCAGAGCGGCTGCAGAGACAGGAGGGCTGGAGGCGGCACCAGCCTCGAGGCCGCTATGGTGGCCCCGGCTCCAGGCTGGAGCAGGGGCAGCTGGACTCGGCCAGGACTGCAGGTGGGAGGCCAGGGAGAAGTAGTGACAGGCCGGGGAGGAGGCGTCCCTGCCTGAGACCTGTCCACCCTCCTCCGGCAGAGCTCACTGGTCCGCCTGCCCCGGGTGCACTCGAATGGACTCCGGTCCCCCAACCTGACCTCGGCCCCCGCCCGCAAGCACCCATCCCTCCCATCCCTCCCATCCCAGAGCAGGCGGGAAACTGAGGCTGTCAGCGGAGGAGGAGCCTTGCGGGGGCACAGCCTGGCCACAGGCTGCCGTGCCCCTCCTCCTCCGGACTCCCCCGGAATTCCATCCTAGGCCGCCACGCGCGCGCCCCTCAGCCCCGGGCCAGGAGGGCGGGGCCGGGCAGGCGCCGGTCATTGGCTGCGCGGGAAGGCGGTCCCCGCTCACTGCCCGCCCCTCTTTAACCCTCGGCCGCCCGGAGCGGCAGCGGGCGGCGCCGCGGGTGCGGACGGCGCGGCCCCGGACTGCAGCCCCGCGGGGCGTGGGGCTCGCTCCGGGGCCCCAGGTGGCTGCGCGTCGCGGAGGGGGGCGGCGCTTATGCGTGAGAACAAGTGAGCCAGCTCGTGAGGCGTGTGCAGTGTGGGTTTGCAGACAGCGGGGGGCTAGGAGGTGTGCGTATTACTGTGTACCTCCCACCCCTCCCCCGTGACAGTCTTGACTCTAGTTGGGCCACTGTCCCCATTGCCACGGACAGACCTCATGCTTCTCCACACTCTGGGGCTTGTCCAAGCTCTCCGCGTGCCTGCAACCCCCAAACTGCCTGTCTCTCCCTCACCCCTCCTGGCCTGGGATACTCCCCTTTCCACCCTCCTCTTCCTACACCGTTCTCTGTCTTCTTGGTCGCCCTTCCAGACACACATCACCCCTAGGTCTGGGCCCCAGGCTTGGCCCCCAGGAATGTCCTGACTCTGAGAGCCTCTTCCGTTCACCTCTGCCAGGCTAGACCCCCAAGGACACACATGCCCCCAGGACAGCTGGCTAGGGCCTGCCCGTGAGGTCCGACTGGGGCTGGGCATGTAGTGCTTGATTCGAGGTGTGGGTGTCCCTGTGTGTCTGAGCCCTTGCTGTCCTGCCACGGGCCATCTGAAAAGCTACTGCACTTCCGTGCAGAGAGATCTGGAAGCCAAGCTGGACCCCACGTGCGCCATAGAAAGACGTGTGTGTGACATGTGTATGGGACGTACGTGAGTGCGTGTGAGTGCGTGTGCCCCTCACGTCAGGATCTGACGTGTGACAGAAATAGCTTGGGCTAAAGCAGACAAAAAAACCTGCCAGCTCAGCTCACCGCTGACCCTCCCCTCAAAGCACAAGGCCAAGGATGGGCCCCCAGCCACCTGTCTGCTGCCTCAGGAAATCACCACCGCCCACCACGCCCAGCTCCAAACCCACCTGGGTCCCCGCTAGACAGGACTTTGCACCAAGAGGCCTCGGTGGGAACCGTCAGACTCCAATTCTCCTGTCGGTGTTCCCAGCCCCTCTCCTTGTCCCGGGGCTGCCGCCTGGGCTGGGTCTGAGAGCACTGGCCACGGGGTGAGCTTGTGGCTGTCATTCCCCCCAGACACAGGGGACACCTTTCAAAATGTCTCACGAACAGCCTTCACCCAACGCCAACACCCCATCAGGCACCGCCCACCGGGGAGAAGGTGGGACGCAGCCACCCAACCTCTGGTGGCTGCCGAGGCTGACCCCTCGGTGTCCATCCCAGGGCTGGCCCCAAGCTGCCGGAGCTCGGCCCGGGGAAGGAGGGGGCTGCTGTCAGCGTGCGTGACGGCGGTGGGAGCTGTTGCACTTGGGGTGCTGCCTGCTGGGTGTTCCCCTTCCTGCCCTTCCAGAAAGCACGCTTGGATGGCTGGCGAGGGTGGGGAGGGATAGAGGGGGAGCCCCCACCCACAGGAGGACAGAGCAGGAGCTGGAAGCAGAGGACAGCTGGGGGGGGTCAGCAATCACCAGGGTGCCCGGGCCTGCCACACAGGACGGGGACTCTCAAAGCGGCCCGATGGCCCTGGGACTCTGGGGCCTTGGGGGGCTCCTCTGGCGGTGAGAGCGCTGCTCTGCCGTCTCGGGCTCCTGCTTGGGGCCGTGTGATGTCCGGGGGCTGCCAGCCTCGAGGGTGCCTGCCTTCTTCTCCTTCCCTGCCCGGCTTTCACCCTGCAGCCCCGGCTCCCGGGACGCCCTCCCCTGGGCCCCGGGCACCGCGGAGCTACCTGCAGCTGCTGGCCTGATCCTCAGGGGCCTCCCCTTCGTGGAGGGCTCTTCCCGTGATGCCCACCTCTGGTCACCCACCAGCAGGGCAGCAGGCCAGCGCAGAGCACTGCCTGGAGCCTCAGGAAACGCAAGCTCGGGGTGGAGGAGAGCCCTCGCCTGCCTGCTGGAGGAGACGCTTTGGCAGTGTAACCCGCCCCAAACCCAACTCCAGGCCCGGCAGGAGGGGGGCGGGGACGGGGAAGACGAGGGGGGGAGGGGCTGAGCCCGGATGAGGCTCTGGGAAGGAATGCCCCGCTCAGGAGCCCCCCCGGAGCCCCGCTGGGAACTCAGCTCTCCGCCTGATGACGTCGTGTTGGCCCGAGCACTGCGACCCGAGTCCAGCTGCGAATCTGCAGCTCCGTGGGGCTGCCCGCTGCCCGGGAGGGAGGAGTGTCAGGCTGTCCACTTGCCCGATGCTTTCCCTCGGCCCCCTCTGGGCATTTCGGGGCGCGGAGGCCTGGGAGGGGCGGGTCCCCACCTGGTGTTTTAATTGTCCCCAGGGCCTGTGATGGAAAAGCCTGGAGGCCGCAGGGTGAGGGCTCCAGTGAGGGGGCGGTGCAGGTGTTTTGGAGGGCAGAACGGGTGGCTGGACAGCAGTGCCACCCAGGTGGTACCCCACACCCCCTTCCACCCCGGAATCTGCCCAGGGTCCCTTGCGGGCTTCTGGAGCCAGGAATTCCCTTTTCTCCAGCCCTAATAGCAGTCAGATGGCGCAAGTGGAAAATCACAGCGCTCGCCCGGGGACTGGGCTGAGCGGGGAAATTGGCGGCCGTGGTGCCTGGTGTGTGCGCCGCGCGGGAGGATGAGTCAGCCTCCCCCAACCCCGGCGAGTCCCCACAGGGTCCTGGGGCACCAAGCCAAAGCCTGGGGGGCGGTGCAGGGGCCAGAGGGGTGGCCGTGAGGACGGGGGTGGTGAGCAGTGTCTTCCCAGGAGCCACCAGGGAAAGCTCCCTGCCCTGGACCAACTTTCTCATGGCCCAGGGAGCCTGAGGGAATTCTGAGCAATGTTTTCCCTGCGGGAGCACATGATGCCCAGATTGGGGTTGGGGGGTGCCTCTGTGGGCATCTTAAAGAGAAACCAGAAATAGAGCTTCCCCTGCACCTGCCCGGGAGCTGCAGCCCTCCTGTGCTGGGAGGAGCTCCATGTCCCTGGCCACATGCGAACCTCAGAAGGGGCTCAGATTGTTCCCTGCTGGGTCCAGCTGGCCTCCTGGGGCCTTTGTTTTTAGGGAGGGGTTGGGGGAGGGCTCAAGGATGCTGACGGTCACGGCCACGCCCGAGGCTGGGCTGGCAGCAGGCAGAGGTGGGGACCCTCCCCTCCTCTCCCAGGCCGGCCAGCTGGGGCCCAGCTGGGCTGCTTGTTTACGTGGGGAGGCCGGGGGAGGCCAGTCCAGGCAAGTTCCAAGTGTAATTGCATCTGGACTCTTAAAAGGAATTGTGTGAAGTGGGCAGCGGCTCTGAAGTCCACCGCCTTATTTGGTATGGAAATCTGTTTCTTTCAAAACTAATGAGAGGTGCTTGTAAATGGGAAAGCCGTTCTTTGCTTGGGTTTGCTGCGTCCCATTGCCACCCACTGTCCTCTGGCCTGGAGGCCAGGCTTCTGCAGGGACATGGCTCCCATGGCTGCCTCCGATCTTGGGTGACCCTGGGACTCGGTTCCTCATCTGTCAGGTGGGAAGAATAATGACTCTCGGAGTAGCAGTGAGAAAGGAATCATGTCCCGGGTAAGAAAGCTCTTTGTGACCCCAGAAACACTGTGTCATTCATTCCCTCTCTCCCCTCACAAGGCTTAGGGTGACTTGGAGGGGGCCGGCCCAGGGTTGGCCCCGTGAGACACTGTCCCTGTACTTCCAACCCTCATGTTCTGTCCTCATGCCCTGAACAGCCACCACCCTGCCGTCAGTGGCCCTCCTCCACCCCTCCCAGGAGAAGGGAAGTTTATTTTTAGTGGTCCAGTGCCGTGGGCCTCACAGGTGGACTCTGGTCTCATCCCCCCCCAGGCCCCCTACAAGGGTGCAGGCCAGGACCCTCCTCTGCTGGGCCCTCCTGTGGCCCCTCGTGGCCCAGCTGCTCCGAGTCGGACCCTCCGAGCCAGCAGGGAGGGCGCAGAGCCTCCCAGGCAGACCCGCACACACTGCAGAGCGCCTGCCGGGTACCGGGCACTGTGCTCTGGGCTGATGAACAGGCAGATGAGGTCTCTGCCCTCCCGGAGCTGCCATCAAGCTGGGAGGCGGACCAGAATCAGATGACCCAGACATATGTAAAACTACAGCTGAACAGAAGGCACCAGCATGCCAGGGAGATCAGGACGGCTTCCTGGAGGAGGTGATGAGGGGGCCTGTGGGGAAAGTTGGGCAGGAGCAACTCAGGTGAGAAGGGTAAGGAAGACATCCCCAGCAGAGGAAACTGCATGAGCAAAGGCCCTGAGGCAGGAGGTGTGCTTCACCAGTGAATGGGGGCTGGATGAGGCCTGGGGGAGGCAGAGAGGGCAGAGACCTGGATGAGGCCCCCAAGTGGGCAGCTCTGACTGGCCCTTCCTGGCCCAGAATCTCGCCCTCTGTGTCCTGTTCTCACCTCTCTGTCGACCTTTGTCCGCTCTGCTCAGGGGACAAGTGCAGTGAGGATGATGACAATTACATCTGCCTGTTGCTGTGTCCTCTGAGCCAGGGCTGCATAAATGGGATCGTTTCATCCTCACAACGTCGCCCATTTTACACCTTCATTCAACACACATTTACCGGGACTTCCCTGGTGGTCCAGTGGTTAAGACTCCGTGCTCCCAATGCAGTGGGCATGGGTTTGATCCCAGGTCGGGGAACGAAGATCCCGCTGCTCGGTGTGGTCAAAAAAAAAAAAAAAAAAAAAGTGTACAATTCAATGGTTTGAGTGTATTCAGAGAGTTGTGCAACCATGACCACCATCTAATTTTAGAATGTTGCTTTCACCCCCTAAAAGAACCCCATACTTATTGGCAGCCTCCGCAGCCCCTGGTCACTACTCATCTAATTTCTGTCTCTACGGATTTACCTGTTCCGGACATTTCATAGAAATGAAATCACACAGGTCTTCTGTGTCTTCATCCTTTCACTCAGCGTAAAGTTTTCAAGGTTCTTACATGTTGTGAATTCGCATATCAGCGCTGCATTCCTTTTCATGGTGATAGGCTGGTTCTCTAGGGTCCAAAACCCCTTTCTCTTCTGCTTGGCTAAGGTCCTCCAGGAGACAAGGCAAATGTGTACATGGTCTGGGTGTCCCAGGTTAATTCCTGAGGCCATTTGGTTTCAACCCTTGAGATTAAAAAGGTCTCTCCAAGGTCTAGCCTGTTCTCCTGAGGGGGAAGAGTGAGGAGGACACCTCCTCCAGCCAGGATGGAGCATCTGTGATGGAATGTGCATCTTAGGAATCTCTGCAGAAGCCTACATTCTCCTTTGTCCTGCATGTGGAAGACTATTCATTTATCCATCCATCCATCATCCATCCATCAATCCACCCATTATCCATCCATCCATAATCTGTCTTACATCCATCCATCCTTCATCCATCCATCCATCATGCATTTTACCTCCATCCTTTCATCCATCCATCCTTCCATCCATAATCCATCCAACATCCATTCATCCATCACCCATCCATCCATCCACCATCCATCCATCCGTCCGTCCATCCATCCGTCCATCTATCCATCCATTCTTACCTTCATTCAACACGTATTTACTGAACACCAACAACGTTGGGGCTGGGGAAAGAATTGTGGAGGAATCAGACATGAAGGAAGAGAAGAACGGGTGATAAATAGAAACAAATGAACACAAGAATTCCAACCGGAATCAGTGCAGTGAAGATAATGAACAGGTGTGGTGATAGAAAATTATGTGGTTGAAGAAGAGAGGGTGTGATGTAGGTGGAATAATGGCTCCCTAAAGATGTTGAAATCCCAGTCCCCAGATCCTGAGCCTATAGGAACTTATGTGGCAAAAGAGACTTTGCAGATGTGCTGAAGTTAAGGATCCTGAGAAGGAGAGATTATCCAGGGTTATCTGGGTGGGCCCTGTATAATTGCAATGGTCCTTACAAGAGGGAGGCAGGAGGGTCAGCGTGAGATGTGATGATGGAAGATGATCAGGAGATCAGTCAGGTGATGTGATGAGTGAAGAAAGAGGTTGGAGGGATGTGAAAAAGGGGCCATGGACCGAGGATGCGGTAACCTCTAGAAGCTGAAAAAGACAGGGAAATGGATTGTACCCTAGGGGCTCCAGCCCTGCCGACACCTTGAGTTTAGGCTTCTGATCTCTAGAACTACAAGAGAATAAATGTGTGGGGACTTCTCTGGGGCACTCCCACTGCACGGGGCATGTGTTTGATCCCTGGTCGGGGAACTAAGTTCCCACATGCATGCCACACTGCAGCCAAAAAAAAAAAAAAAAAAAAAAAAAAAAAAAGAAAAGAGAGAGAATAAATGTGTGTTGACTTAAGCCACCAAGCTTGTGGGCATCGGGTACAGCAGCAACAGAAAAACTAAGAGTGGTAGATAAGCCTTTTCAGCAAGGCCAGGCTGAAAGCTCTTTCTGCTTGAGCTGAGGCCTGAGGAAGGAGAGGAGAGGCTCCAGATACCCACTGAGTCCACAGGAATAGTCCAGGATAAAAAACAGCAGGTGTAAAGGCCCTGAGGTAGGAAAGGATTTGGTGTGTTAGAAGAACAGAAAGGGGGACTTCCCTGGTGGTGCAGTGGTTGAGAATCCACCTGCCAATGCAGGGGACACGGATTCAATCCCTGATCTGGGAGGATCTCACATGCCGTGGAGCAACTAAGCCCGTACGCCACAGCTACTGAGCCTGTGCTCTGCAACCCGTGAGCCACAACTACTGAGCCCACGCCACAACTACTGAAGCCCGGGCGCTCTAGGGCCTGCATGCCGCAACTACTGAGCCCGCGTGCTGCAACTTCTGAGGCCTGCATGCCTAGAGCCCGTGCTCCACAACAAGAGAAGCCACCGCAATGAGAAGCCCGCGCACCATGATGAAGAGTAGCCCCCGCTCGCTGCAACTAGAGAAAGCCTGCGCACAGCAATGAAGACCCAATGCAGCCAAAAAATAAATGTTTAAAAAAAAGAACAGAAAGGGAGGTAGGAGGGCAGTAATGGGAGGGTGTGTGTGATGAGGCTGGGGAGGTGGGCGGGGCCTCCAGCCCCTGCAAGCCCAGGGGCAGAGCCATCTCCTGGCGCCCGAGACGGGATGTCCCAGCAGCAGGGCCTTGGCTGGTTTCCCATCTTCCTAGTTTGAGGCTCTCTGTCCAGCTTCCAATTCCTCACTTTCCTGCTGCTCAGACATTTTCCAGCCGTGTCCACTTCTCTCCCTCCCCATGGCCACTATGCTGGTGCGGGCCCGTTGTACCTCCCACCTGGACTCCTGGCTGCACCACGACCACTGCACTGTCCCTCTGTGCATTCTGCTCACTCATCAGACTCCTTAATGTGGGTCACTCAGCCAGTAGGGACCGCCAGCATCGTTGCCCCGCCGCCCTGCCCACCTTAAACTCCTCGGTCAGCCTTGACACCAGCTGTGGTCCGTCCCTGCTCCCTTCCCTCCACGTCTGCATCCTGGGACCAAATCCCAGTTATCACATCATTTGACCCGTGACCATTTCAGCATGAGATTGAAAAATAAGGAAACTTTTCAAAGGCCACATTTTCATTTTAGAAGTCCAACATGATCACTTCTAAAAGTCATGAACGATAATTCCTTAAAATCAACAAATATGCAGTGTCCATATTCATTTATTTATTGGTTTATTTACAGGATTGTGTGTGTGAATCAGGATCCAACTAGATGCACTGGTTGATATGCTTCTTTTCCCCTATTTTCAACTATAGGTTCCCCTGCAGCATCTCTCTCTGTCTCTGTCTCTGTCTCTCTCTCTCTGAGTTGGATCAGGAAACAGACACACCACACTATCAGGGAAATAAGGGGTTTCATACAGGAATGTGGGTGGGGCTGGGCCATGGAATTCTGGAAGACTGGAACCAGAGGATGGGAGAAGCAGTCACTAGCCTTCAGGATACTGGTCACTCACCCACTGGTGCCGGGGCAGAAGCTGGGGAAGTGCTGACCCAGTATCACTCAGAGAGGACATGGTGCAGCGGAAGACACTCCAGCCCAGCCCACTCCCCACCCCTTTAACTATTCTTAACTTCTTGGGGGGCTGCAAGTCATTTATGTGGGAGATGATCCCAGAAAGCACTACACAAAGATGGAGAAGTGAGGCAGAGAAGGAAGAAAACCCTGAGAGTTCACTCCTGCCTGGCTTTGAGAGGTCTGGTCCTCCGTCAGCTCACCAGCGCCCCAGCCTCCATCAGTGTGCTGTTGTGACAATTGCAAGACATAGGCAGGTACCCCAGGGAGGGTGGCTTGAGCGGGAGGAGACAGGCTGAGTCCAGTAGTTGGGGGGAGACTGGTGTAAACCCACTCCTGATCTGGGGGGACAGGAGGGAGGTAGGCAAGGGATGATGTTGCACTAGGCTCTGTGTTTCCACTGGGCCTGCCGTTGGTGCATGTGGACACATAAGATAAAAATATGCCTTGGAGGATTGGTTCAAGATGGCAGAGAAGAAGGACGTGCGCTCCCTCCCTCTTGCGAGAGCACCAGAATCACAACTGACTGCTGAACAATCATTGACAGGAAGACACTGGAACTCACCAGAAAAGATATCCCACATCCGAAGACAAAGGAGAAGCCACAATGAGACAGTAGGAGGGGCGCAATCACAATAAAATCAATCCCATAACTGCTGGGTGGGTGACTCACAAACTGGAGAACACTTATACCACAGAAGTCCACCCACTGGAGGGAAGGTTCTGAGCCCCACGTCAGGCTTGCCAACCTGGGGGTCCGGCAACGGGAGGAGGAATTCCTAGAGAATCAGACTTTGAAGGCTAGCGAGATGTGACTGCAGGACTTCAACTGGACTGGGGGAAACAGAGACTCCACTCTTGGAGGGCACACACAAAGTAGTGTGCGCATCGGGACTCGGGAAGGAGCAGTGACCCCATAGGAGACTGAACCAGACCTACCTGCTGGTGTTGGAGGGTCTCCTGCAGAGGGGGGTGGGGTGGCTGTGTCTCACCGTGAGGACAAGGACACTGGCAGCAGAAGTTCTGAGAAGTACTCCTTGGCATGAGCCCTCTCAGAGTCCTCCATTAGCCCCACCAAAGAGCTGGGCAGGCTCCAGTGCTGAGTCGCCTCAGGACAAACAACCAGCAGGGAGGGAACCCAGCCCCACCCATCATCAGACAAGCAGATTAAGGTTTTACTGAGCTCTGCCCACCAGAGCAACACCCAGCTCTACCAACCACAAGTCCCTCCCATCCGGAAACTTGCACAAGCCTCTTAGATAGCCTCATCCACCAGAGGGCAGACAGCAGAAGCAAGAAGAACCACAATCCTGCAGCCTGTGGAACAAAAACCACATTCACAGAAAGATAGACAAGATGAAAAGGCAGAGAGCTATGTACCAGATGAAGGAACAAGATAAAACCCTAGAAAAACAACTAAATGAAGTGGAGATAGGCAACCTTCCAGAAAAAGAATTCAGAATAATGATAGTGAAGATGATCCAGAACCTCGGAAAAAGAATGGAGGCAAAGATCGAGGAGATGCAAGAAATGTTTAACAAAGACCTAGAAGAATTAAAGAACAAACAAACAGAGATGAACAATACAATAACTGAAATGAAAAATACACTAGAAGGAATCAATAGCAGAATAACTGAGGCAGAAGAACGGATAAGTGACCTGGAAGACAGAATGGTGGAATTCACTGCTGCGGAACAGAATAAAGAAAAAAGAATGAAAAGAAATGAAGACAGTCTAAGAGACCTCTGGGACAACATTAAATGCAAAAACATTCACATTATAGGGGTCCCAGAAGGAGAAGAGAGAGAGAGAAAGGACCTGAGAAAATATTTGAAGAGATTATAGACAAAAACTTCCCTAACATGGGAAAGGAAATAGCCACCCAAGTCCAGGAAGCGCAGAGAGTCCTAGGCAGGATAAACCTAAGGAGAAACACACTGAGACACATAGTAATCAAACTGACAAAAATTAAGACAAAGAAAAATTATTGAAAGCAGCAAGGGAAAAATGACAAGTAACATACAAGGGAACTCCCATAAGGTTAACAGCTGATTTCTCAGCAGAAATTCTACAAGCCAGAAGGGAGTGGCATGATATACTTAAAGTGATGAAAGGGAAGACCCTACAACGAAGATTACTCTACCCAGCAAGGATCTCATTCAAATTCGATGGAGAAATCAAAAGCTTTACAGACAAGCAAAAGCTAAGAGAATTCAGCACCACCAAACCAGCTCTACAACAAATGCTAAAGGAACTTCTCTAAGTGGGAAACACAAGAGAAGAAAAGGACTTACAAAAACAAACCCATAACAAATAAAAAAATGGTAATAGGAACATACATATTGATAATTACCTTAAATGTGAATGGATTAAATGCTCCAACCAAAAGACACAGTCTCACTGAATGGATACAAAGACAAGACCTGTATATATGCTGTCTACAAGACACCCACTTCAGACCTAGAGACACATACAGACTGAAAGTAAGGGGATGGAAAAAGATAGTCTGTACAAATGGAAATCAAAAGAAAGCTGGAGTAGTAATACTCATATCAGATAAAATAGACTTTAAAATAAAGAATGTTACAAGAGACAAGGAAGGACACTACATAATGATCAAGGGATGAATCCAAGAAAAATATATAACAATTATAAATATATATGCACCCAACATAGGAGCACCTCAATACATAAGGCAACTGCTAACAGCTCTAAAAGAGGAAATTGACAGTAACACAATAATACTGGGGGACTTTAACACCTCACTTACACCAATGGACAGATCATCCAAACAGAAAATTAATAAAGAAACACAAGCTTTAAATGACACAATAGACCAGATAGATTTAATTGATATTTATAGGACATTCCATCCAGAAACAGCAGATGACACATTCTTCTCAAGTGCTCATGGAATATTTTCCAGGATAGATCATATCTTGGGTCACAAATCAAGACTTGGTAAATTTAAGAAAATTGAAATCGTATCAAGTATCTTTTCTGACCACAATGCTGTGAAACTAGACATCAATTAAAGGAAAAAATCTGTAAAAAATACAAACTAGTGGAGGCTGAACAATACATTACTAAATAACCAAGAGATCACTGAAGAAATCGAAGAGGAAATAAAAAAATAGCTAGAAACAAATGACAATGAAAACATGATGATCCAAAACCTACGGGATGCAGCAAAAGGAGTTCTAAGAGGGAAGTTTATAGCAATACAAGCCTACCTCAAGAAACAAGAAAAATTTCAAATAAACAATCTAACCTGACACCTAAAGGAACTACAGAAAGAAGAACAAACAAAACCCAAAGTTAGTAGAAGGAAAAAAAATCATAAAGATCAGAGCAGAAATAAATGAAATAGAAAGAAAGAAAACAATAGCAAAGATCAATAAAACTAAAAGCTGGTTCTTTGAGAAGATAAACAAAATTGATAAACCGTTAGCCAGACTCATCAAGAAAAAGAGGGAGAGGACTCAAATCAATAAAATTAGAAATGAAAAAGGAGAAGTTACAACAGACAGCAGAGAAATACAAAGCATCATAAGAGACTACTACAAGCAACTCTATACCAGTAAAATGGACAACCTGGAAGAAATGGACACATTTTTAGAAAGGTATAACCTTCCAAGACTGAAGCAGGAAGAAATAGAAAATATGAACGGACCAATCACAAGTAATGAAGCTGAAACTGTGATTAAAAATCTTCCAATAGGGCTTCCCTGGTGGCACAGTGGTTGGGAATCTGCCTGCCAATGCAGGCAACACGAGTTCAAGTCCTGGTCTGGGAAGATCTCACATGCCTCAGAGCAACTAAACCCATGAGCCACAACTGCTGAGCCTGCGCTCTAGAGCCTGCGAGCCGCATCTACTGAGCCCGTATGCCACAACTACTGAAGTCTGCGTGCCTAGAGTCTGAGCTCCACAACAAGAGAAGCCACCGCAATGAGAAGCCAGAGCACCACAATGAAGAGTAGCCCCCACTCGCAGCAACTAGAGAAAGCACGCATACAGCAACAAAGACACAATGCAGCCAAAAAATAAATAAATTTATAAAATAAAAAAAGAAAAAGTTTCAAAAAATAAAAAATCTTCCAACAAACAAAAGTCCAGGACGAGATGGCTTCACACGTGAACTCTATCAAATATTTAGAGAAGAGTTAACACCCATCTTTCTCAAACTCTTCCTTAAAATTGCAGAGGAAGGAACACTCCCAAAGTCATTCTACGAGGCCACCATCACCGTGATACCAAAACCAGAAAAAGATACTACAAAAAAAGAAAATTACAGACCAATATCACTGATGAATAGAGATGCAAAAATCCTCAACAAAATACTAGCAAACAGAATCCAACAACACATTAAAAGGATCATACACCATGATCAAGTGGGATTTATCCCAGGGATGCAAGGATTCTTCAATATATGCAAATCAATCAATGTGATACACCATATTAACAAACTGAAGAATAAAAACCATATGATCATCTCAATAGATGCAGAAAAAGCTTTTGACAAAATTCAACACCCATTTATGATTAAAAACTCTCTAGAAAGTGGGCATAGAGGGAACCTACCTCAACATAATAAAGCCATGTACAACAAACCCACAGCCAACATCGTTCTCAATGGTGAAAAACTGAAAGCATTTCCTCTAAGATCAGGATCAAGACAAGGATGGCCACTCCCACCACTATTATTCAACATAGTTTTGGAAGCCCTAGCCACAGCAATCAGAGAAGAAAAAGAAATAAAAGTAAATACAAATTGGAAAAGAAGAAGTAAAACTGTCACTGTTTGCAGATGACATGATACTATACATAGAGAATCCTAAAGATGCCACCAGAAAACTACTAGAGCTAATCAATGAATTTGGTAAAGTTGCAGGATACAAAATTAATGCACAGAAATCTCTTGCATTCCCATACACTAATGATGAAAAATCTGAAAGAGAAATTAAGGAAACACTCCCACTTACCACTGCAACAAAAAGAATAAAATACCTAGGAATAAACCTACCTAGTGAGACAGAAGACCTGTATGCAGAAAACTATAAGACACTGATGAAAGAAAGTAAAGATGACACAAACAGATGGGGAGATATACCATGTTCTTGGATTGGAAGAATCAATATTGTGAAAATGACTATACTACCCAAAGCAATCTACAGATTCAATGCAATCCCTATCAAATTACCAATGGCATTTTTTACAGAACTAGAGCAAAAAATCTTAAAATTTGTATGGAGACACAAAAGACCCCGAATAGCCAAACCAGTCTTGAGGGAATAAAATGGAGCTGGAAGAATCAGGCCACTGGACTTCAGACTATACTACAAAGCTACAGTAATCAAGATAGTATGGTACTGGCACAAAAACAGAAATATAGATCAATGGAACAGGATAGAAAGCCCAGAGATAAACCCATGCACCTATGGTCAACTAATCTATGACAAAGGAGGCAAGGATATACAATGGAGAAAAGACAGTCTCTTCAATAAGTGGTGCTGGGAGAACTGGACAGCTACATGTAAAAGAATGAAATTAGAACACTCCCTAACACCATACACAAAAATAAACTCAAAATGGATTAGAGACCTAAATGTAAGACTGGACACTATAAAACTCTTAGAGGAAAACATAGGAAGAACACTCTTTGACATAAATCACAGCAAGGTCTTTTTTGATCCACCTCCTAGAGCAATGGAAATAAAAATAAACAAATGGGACCTAATGAAACTTAAAATCTTTTGCACAGCAAAGGAAACTATAAACAAGATGAAAAGACAACCCTCAGAATGGGAGAAAATATTTGCAAATGAATCATCGGACAAAGGATTAATCTCCAAAATATATAAACATCTCATGCAGCTCGATATTAAAAAAACAAACAACCCAATCCAAAAATGGGCAGAAGACCTAAATAGACATTTCTCCAAAGAAGACATACAGATGTCCGAGAAGCACATGAAAAGCTGCTC